TGCAGGATGGCACAAGCAGGGGGGTGGAGGTCCCTGCCCCACTGCGGCTCTGCCACACTCCTAGTCTGCTGCAAATATGCACTTGGGGGAAAGTAAGGTAGGCAAATCTATTTTTCCTCGTGTTTAGACAGACTGAAGCAGACCTGCACCCATTTCCACAGCTGATGCACACTAAGATTCTTGGCAGATGACGCTATTGTCCACGGTTGACTCTCCATCCCCTGGGAGCACCGTGGAAGATGTTCGTGCTAACGGGTCACCCCTGGTCCGTGCCATGATCAGGGTCTGTGCATAGGGTGGTCTCGGGTGAGGACCACTAACTCAGTCTTGGGGATCACTATGGGATGTAACACGGGAGAGGAGGGGACAGCAGTGAGGCTCAGGGTCCCAGCTGAGCACATCCAGAGCCTGAGCTTGGTGCTGGGCTCAGGCCCCATAGACTCTTCTCCCGACTTTTAGGTTTTCCTGACTCCTGTCCCAGCTCTGATCTCAGCCTCCACGTTGGCTTCCAAACCCTTCCTGGAACATGCCGCCCAGCAAGCCGGAGCGGGAGGCGAGCAGCACCCAAACAGGGTGTGCAGTTATCTCCAGTGTTTACCTGCCCCGGTGCAGGATCCAGACGCCCGGGGCAGAGTCCACAGCGCTGGCAGCCATCCCTGAAACAGATCCTGTTACAGCTGCCACACAGCCTTCCCCCATCCTGCTGACATGCCTTAAATGTCGAGGCTCCCGGCAGCCCGTTGGCCTCTTTGCCAGCAGAAAAGTTTCTTGGCCTTTACCAATAAAACACAGCAGAGCTCTGCTCTCGGCACAGCGCAAACCGCAGCCCTGAACGCGGGGGCGAGAGGCAGCCTTCCTCAGCCCCATGACTAAATATGGTGCTCCTCCTCCGGGGCCACCAAGAACCCCGCGTGCTGCTGCTAGGAGAAGGAGGTGGAAAGGGAAATGTGTCCTGCCATCATCTCAGGAGGGTCTGGCAGGGTCCTTGGCTAGCTACAACCACCCCCATCCCACCACGGCAGGAGCTGGGGACGGAGAATGCATCTCTGTTGAGAAAGACCAGCTCAGGTTAACTGGTCCCATAGCTGCTGAGCTATTGGGGTTGTCTCTGCATTATCCTGGAGCTCATCAGAGGTGATGCTGCACTCAGACAGACCCTCCAGGAGGGGAATTTGGGCACTTTGTTGGCACATTTGAAGAGCTTTGTCCTAGGGATGGGAGTGAATGAGCTCCATGGCATCTGTCTTTCTCTCCCACCGTGCTGGGTGGATTTAGAGCTCTAACCTAAGCTTTCACAGTCCCTCATCTGTACTGGCCACAGTCGCTTTGAGAGGCAGCAGGAAAATTCTTTCCCGGTCTGCTTCCTAGAAATCAGCCCCCAGCTCCCACATTGCAGGAATTCCAGCATGCTGCACTCACCGAGTTAAGGACCCTTTGTTTTTCCAAGAGCGGTGGAGTTGCTCCACAAAGCAATTAGACAAGAGCTGCTCCTACTTTCAGAGGCCAAACAGCCTCATTACAGCACATTTCTGCCATGTACTATTGACTCAGTTGGATCGATGCCACGGAGTCAATCACCAAGTCACTCCCTGAGCCCTTCTCCTGTTCTAATGCACTGTGGTAGGTTTGGCTCCTTTTTTATTATTTTTTTGGCAGATCAGGTGGAAGTATTTGTTTTTCTCTTCTAAAGATAATGGCTTCATGTTCCCCGATGAGGCCCAAACACAGCACTGGGAACAGGCTGGGAACAGATTGGGAATGGGGAGGTGGGTGCAGCCCAGCATCACCCACAGCCTGTGGCACGGGACTGGGAGCAGTGGGCAGCACTGTGGGCTCGCATGCAAGCCACAGCCTGAACTGGGGAGCCCACAGCTGGGACCAGTAAAACTGCTGGGGTACCTGTGGGGTGTGATTACGTACATCTGCAGAGCACAGGGACAGGAGCCCTGCCTGCACTCGGCTCTGGACCACTCCCTGGTGACTTGCTGCCACGAGCAGTCATGGGATGACCTTCTTCCCCACTTTGGCCGTGTATTCCCTTCTCAAAGCAATGCCTTTTGCCAGATTTCGTGGCTCCTGGAGGCCTGCCCCGTGCTCTGGGTGCCAGCATTGCAGGGCAGCAGCCTTCCCTGGCAATCCAGCTGCGCACACAGGGGTCGCAGGGAAGGGCAGACACGGTGCCATGGGGCTGTGGTCCCCGTACTGAGGTCCTCCATTGACATGGACTCAGACAGTAAAAGCCAGTGGTGGTGGGGAGATGAGGGTAACATGCCCTGCCCTCCTTATCTGAGGCTGCAGAAGAAACAGAGCTTCCTGGTGCAGAGAGCAGCCGCAGCAAGGACACAGCCTGCCACCCCCCTGCCTGCCCAGGGAAAGCCTCTGCGCAACTCCCCGTCCCAGTCCTCTCGAGCCAAAGCAAAGGCTTCCAGCCTGGAAACTCCACGTATGAGAGCTACCGGCCACGCTGGCCACTCTTCACGCTGCGCAGGGAGCAGAGATGCAGCAACAGCCTCTCTCTGACATCTGCACCCATCTGTGCATGCCACATCCCAGGCAGGCTGGCCAAGACGTGTCCCGTATCCATGTATCCAGTATCGGTGCCAAGTGGACACAGGAGCATGGCAGGATCAGCCCCATGGGGACACTGGTATTTCCCTGCTGGAATGAGTCTACTGAGATCAGTTCTAACTGCGTGCCTGCTTATAGACCCCAGCTCTGCTTACTGCCCATCTGCGCTCCTCACTGCAACGGGATAGTGAGACTGGGAACAGGGTACGGGGACCAGCTGCAGAAATGTTAAACCTCAGTGGGTGCATCTGAAGATGCACTTCTGCTCCTGCCCTGTGTCAGATGCCGTGTGGTGATGAGCCATCAGTGGACACAGGCAGCATGCAATGCTCCTGTTAGCACACGAAAATCACTCGTTATGGTATGTGACAGTCTTCAAGGGCAGGGGACAGAAATCTGGTAAAACACAGGCTGAGGACAGTGCTCATCTTTCTTTCAAAGGTCCTGCAGCCCCCCTGGATGTGGGTGCCCCCGGTTTAAGGAGCTGCTTTTGGCACAGCAATACTTCTTGCCTGTCCCTGCCCTGGTGTCCCCAAAGGGAGGGGAAGGGTGTCTGGGGACCTGCAGCATGGACCCAAGAGGACTCATAGGATCCTGCAGAGGAGGCAGAGGAAGGGATCTCTGCACTGAGTTAACCCACAGCCAGTCCCTGTTCTGCCCTTCCCTGGAGGTGACACTTGGGTCCAAATATACAATAAAGACACCCCCGCAATGGCAGATTTTCAGGCAGGCTGGAGGTGGTGCTTTAGCACTTCCCTGCAGCCCTTCCATCAGCAGAAGGGCCAGGACAGGACCACAGCTTCTTCCCATCATCTCCTGGGACACAGGAGCAAATCCTAAGCCAGTTTAAGTCCCAACCACCTCCAGAGTGTGGCAAAGCCACTCAGAAGACTAACGCTAGAATCGCCTCAGAGCTTTGCATGGGATGTGCCACCGCCTCCCACCACAGTCTGGAGAGCCCCTGTCTCATGCTCCAATCTTGAACATCTGGAGATAGTCTCGAGGACTCAGCCTGGCCTTTCCCTGGTGTTGGGAAGTCTTTGTGTGGGCGCTGGATGGAGTCAGCCCTGACAGCCTGGACAGCCCCGGTGTCCTGGGATGATCTGTTTTCCCTCAGCAGAATGAACTTCCAAGCCTGGAGGAGAGCAGAAAGCCTGCCACGCGGCTCCCACAGCCCGGCTGTTTGCAGAGGAATCCTGAGGAGCGTTTACACGGCCCATAAACAGGACATGCCGGGGCACCCGGCCGGCGGGGAGCCAGGAAGCGGGGCAGGAGGGGCGCAGGAAGGGCTGGTACTCACTGCACAAGAAGCAGGACTTGTGGAAGCTGCTGCCTTCACATTGCACCTCCTCGGCAAAATATACCGCCTTCTGACACACGCCGCACTTCTTTCCTCCTCCCCAGTTGGGCATCCTGCGGGAAAAGCACAGGGAGAAGCAGCGTCAGGGCGGGAGGGCAGGCAGGAGGCAGGGATGGGGGCACCCGCCAGCAGCTGTTCCAGCAGCTGTTCCACATCTGCACGTGCAGAGACCACCCACAGATGTTTGGTGTTTGCACAGATTCGCAAGGCTGGTAACTAGCAGAATGAGCAGAACTGAGGATGCCCACGGGACCCATCGGTACAGCACCCAGCAGCGTCAGTCGCCTCCCAGGGACCACTGGTCCTGCCAGCCGGGAAGTCCCCATCCCCACTGGTCCTCCCCCATCTCACGAGCTGTGTGACCGCCCAGCTCCTTTCTGTGCCAGGAAAAGGGAGGAAGCGGGACAATGATGGGAGAGGGCTCTTACAGAGGTACCCACGGCACCTCCTGGGACCACAGCCCTGCTGTTACCCCTCACCAGGGCACCACAGCAGTGGCCAGGGTGACCGATCCTTGGTGCTGCAGGGAGTGCAGGTTGTCACCCCACCTGGAAGCTGCTCCAGCTTCTCCTCCCTGAACATCTATTCCATTTCTGCCACCACAGGGCAGAGGTACAGTCAGGGTTGCTCAGAGGGCAGGAGCTGACTCCTGACACCAGCAGACAGTGGGCTCTGGCACCGTGTCCCCCATCGCATCATCCGCTTGTGCCTCGCCCATCCAACCGCTCACAGGTTCCCCTGGACTCAGGCATCTCCGCCTCCTCCAGGACTGCAGGCAGGGTCACAGGCTGGGAAATCAGCAGCCCCAGGGACACAGGCTCACGTGCAGGGCAAGCACCTGAGCACCAACCTAAGCTATGATGCAGCTCCTTGGCAGGATACAAATGCTTCTATTTCTCTCTGCTCTTTCCTGAAATGTATCTGATGAAACATGATCCAGAGACGCTTAATCTGCAAATTTGCTGATAACACCAAAATACTGGCAGCAGCTAACATGAGTAGCAGAGCTCCAACCCAGAGGGGTCTTGGTGCTTTTGAACACCAGGTCAACCTAAACCTCAAGACATTCGAGCACAAGTCCCGCAAGGAGATTCTGAGGGAGGCAGGAGGATCTAACAGCAACCTAGGGTTGCTATAAAGACAACAAAACAAAAGTTTTTGGTGGTGCCCAATGATATAAGAGAGGTCAGTGGGCACAAGCTGCAACTTGGGAGGTCTCCAGAGGCCTCTCTCCATCAACGCTTGTGGAACTCTCCATCCTGCTCCTACGTGGGGACAAGCAGCAGAAGTCACCCTCCCTGCTGCAGGCACAGCCCTGTGCTTCCCGACTCCTGCACAGCTAAAGCAGCAGGACAAAGTCTCCCAAACCAAACACCATTTTCATGCTACACTCTGTGCCACCCCCCAGCATGGGCAGGACCTCATCACCTCCCTCGGCTTGGCTACCTGGCTGCGAGGAAGGGGATCACGGTCTGCCGGGGCGCACCGGGGGCACAGCCTTTGCACCCACTCCCTGCAGCAGCTCCGAATCCCCGGGTCATGGCAGGCAGCTGAACCCCCATCTCTGGGTCTCCAACCCCCCGCCCAGGGGCTGAGCCAGCGGCACTGCCCAGCTGGGCTGGCAGCGAGGGAGATGGATGCCAAACCCAACAGGGCTGGGGGCTGTAGAAGCATCAAAAGGAGAGATGGGGGAGGACGAAGCGCTGCAAAGCCTCTGCTCAGAGGCACAGCGAGATCTCGGTACCTTCCCGTATATGGGAAAGTCGAGCTCTTCCCTGTGTAAGAGCCTTTTGTCAGGCAATAGGAAAGGGAAATGGATCTCCACCCGGCTGTGACAGCAGGCAGGGCGCGGGGCAGCGGACACGCTGGCAGAGGCGATGGCCCCGCTCTAGCCTGGCTCTTGGATGCACCGAGGGTCTCAGCGCAGGACAGAGCTGCGAAGGGTGCTGGGAGCTGGAGGGGAGGCTGGGCTGGCTCCGGGGATCAAGGAGCAGGGTTCAGGGTGTGATGGCAGCAGCCGGGAAGTCTCTTTTCTGAACACCCTGCAGGCTGGGCTTCCCACCACTGCACAGCCTGTGCCAAATCCCTCCCTTCCAACCTGATCCTTCCAGTCCCAGCCTTTGGATCGCCTTAAAAGGACACAAACCGTTTCTCTCCAGAGCCTGTTTTTTCCCCTCTGCACCAGGAGGAGGGCCCGACCTGGTTCAGGAGTTTCCTTGGAGGGCAGAAACATCCAGCGGCATCCCCCCACCAGTCCCAGCACAGTGATGGGAGCCCACCGGCCCCTTTTGCCCTGTGCCCACGTGTGTCAGACCCCTCGGCAGGGATAACACGACACTGGCTACTATTTCTCTGGACCCCCCATCCCT